GGAAGGATGGATGGATGGATGGATGGATGGATGGATAGATGGATGGATGGATGGATGGATAGATGATGGATGGATGGATGGATGGAGCAGTTTTTCCTCTTGTTCCCCCTTTTTCTGCCTGTTTTCCCTCTGTAAACATCGTTTTTCACGCCGTCCTTCTCAAAATCAGCCGCATTTTTACCTCCCTTTTTTCTTTTGTTGAACACCACAAGGGGTGGATTTCAAAGATTTCAAATGAGACATTAAGACATTAAAGAAAAAAGGAACAGAAGGTGCAGAAAACTTAAGAAAACTCTGAAAAAAAAAACTGAAGGAGGACCATAGACACAAACTAAGAGCAAAGAAACAAAGAAATCTATCAAAATGAAGAATGGACATCAAATAGTTCTTTGCTGTTTGGTCTGCAGAGATTCTGGGAAAGCTGAAGACTTATGTTAAACCCAAACAAAACCTCCTCCGTGTTTGTGTCAGTGCTTTGATGACGGGGAGGTGTGAAGGCCTGCGTAGGTTCTCTCAGAGGGGATGTGGAACTGTGACAGGTTTGTGTGTCGACATAAACCGGGCCGGAAACCGGCTCTGACCTGCTGTTTCAGGCCTGTTTCCACTGAGCCCGCACTTTTTCTGACAAAGTGAGAAAAGCACAGCCTGTAGCTGCTATAGCAAAGTTAGAAGAAATACTTAGATAAACTATAGATGAATAGATATTGGGTTAAAAATATAGAGTTTGTTACAGAAAGTAAAACACATTTACATGATGGAAAATATATATAAATAATATCTATATAAAATATATAAAATATAATATATATATTCATAAAAATATATAAAAATATAATATAAATAATATATATATATATAAATAGAATATATATATATAAAAAAAATATAGATGAATAAATATATATAAATATGACCAATTACAGATAAAAGTACCTGTTTTTATGAGAAATGTGGACCCCAGTTACTGAATATCTTTCTCAGGACTCTTTTTTACTACTACTACTGTACTTTTACTATATCCATGTATTATTATTATTATTATTAAGGCTTCTTTAAATCTAAAATATCCCTGTTCTCCTGGAGTCCAGAACTTGATAAGATATGTTTTATAGCCTTTACAGTGTGACAGATTAGACCCCATTTTTGTTTAATTTTGTAATTTTTTTAATATTTATTTATCCTTTATGTTTGCCTGTCTTTCTGTTCTTCTTTATGATGCTGAGTGCCTGTTAATCCACATTTAAGGCAATAATATATATACATATATGCACGTATGTATGTATGTGTTTCTCTTTTATATGCTCAATTAGTTTGATCATTCTTATTATTATTATTATTATAATTCTCATTATTATTATTACTATTGCATATAGTGCTCTTTAAATGTGTGCAGCTGTAACAGAATAATTTGCCTCTGAGCATCAATAATAACTGCACAAACCCTTCGATCCCCCATCAGGTAGAAACGGGGGTTATCCTCCTGGAAACCATGGCGACGCTCTGCTGGGATGTGGGGGGGGGGGCCAGCAGGTGGCGCCCTCTTGTTTTTTCACACTCACACCCAGGATGTGGTCGGGCTAAGGTCAGACCACATGGTACAAGCCCATTTCTTTTGGACACAAACGAGAAGCAGCAGGTGTTCAGGAAATGTCACAATCAGCTTATTTATTTTGTTTTTTCTTTATTGAATCGTGTTTTTCTGTGGGCAGCTACATCAGGATGTGTAATTGTTGCATTTATACTGTCTTATACATAATGTTCAAACATTATAGGTCTATAATTTGTTATTCTTTTCAAGGGTAATTGTCTGATTGGAGTTTATGTAAGTTGTATTTGTTTTAAATTGTATTATTTAGTACACCAAAAAAAGCTTTAAACCCAAAAAACAGCTTTAAAAGCAACAAAAACAGCTTTAAAGCCCCCAAAACAGCTTTAAAGGCAACAAAAAACAGGTTTAAAGCCCCCAAAAGGGGGGTCTTATGGAAAGACAGACAGGGACCCACTTCCTCCAATTCCCTTTTTCTTTTCTAACGAGGAATTTTATTTATTTGTTTGCTTTGTAAGTATAGTTTCCTGCTCTGCAGGTTATTGTAATAAACTTTATTTAGTTTTCAGGTGGATTTGGAGCTCCCAAACCGGGATCACCACCAGGTGAAGGTGAGTGTGTGGAAGCAGGGGCAGCTCCTGGGGAACAGGCTCCCCCCCACCCCCCCACCGGTGGGTTGTGGCTCCAGGCTGACCGTGTACCCGCGGCTCTGGATGTCCATCCGCACGCAGTCCAGCAGCTTTAAAAGCCCCAAAACTGCTTTAAACCCCCCTAAACACCTTAAAAAAAACCCCAAACTGCTTTAAAAGCCGAAAAACTGCTTTAAAACCCCCCAAAACTGCTTTAAAACCCCCCTAAAACAGCTTTGAAGCCCCAAAAAACACCTTTAAAAGCAACAAAAAACAGTTTTAAAAAAAAACTAAAAACTGCTTTGAAAGCCACAAAAGAGTTTTAAACACCCCAAAACAGCTTTAAAAGCACCAAAAACAGCTCTAAAAGCCCCAAAACAGCTTTAAATGCCCCCAAAACAGCTTTAAAAGCAACAAAAAACAGCTTTAAATGCCAAAAAACAGTTTTAGATCCCTTTTTCTTGGAGCCAATGAGGTATGTTATTTATTAGTTTGTAAGTATTTATTGTTAGTCAGGACCGGGATCACCACCAGGTGAAGGTGAGTGTGTGGAAGCAGGGGCAGCTCCTGGAGAACGGGCCCCCACCGGGGGGGTGTGGCTCCAGGCTGACCGTGTACCCGCGGCTCTGGATGTCCATCCGCACGCAGTCCAGCAGGTCAGCGGCCGATGGCGGCGCCGTCCAGGGGCCAAAGGTCACCGCCGCCTCCCGCCCGGCGCCGTGGCAGAGCCCCCGCTCCTCCTCCTCCGTCCGCAGAACGCAGATAAGCACGGAGGAGCTCCGCGCCGCCACCGCCTCCGCCCGCGCCACCCGGATCAGGACCTGCAGGACCAGGAGTACCACAAATGTGGATTTATCAGCTTTAAAAGCTAAAAAACTGCTCTAAGGAACCCCAAAAAAGCTTAAAAAGCCAAGTAACTGCTTTAAAAGCCACAACATGAATTTAAAAGCCCCCAAAACACCTTTAAAAAAACCCAAACAGCTTTAAAAAGCCAAAAAACACCTTTAAAAAAAACACAAAACAGCTTTAAAAGCCTCCAAAACACCTTAAAAAAAACCCAAAACATCTTTAAAAGCCAAAAGAACTTCTTTAAAAGCCACAAAATGAATTTAAAAGCCCTCAATACAGCTTCAAAAGCTCCCAAAACACCTTACAAAAAAAAAAAAACAGCTTTAAAAAGCCAAAAAACACCTTTAAAAACAAAAACAAAACAGCTTTAAAAGCCAAAAAACAGTTTTCAAAGCCACAAAACCGCTGTAAACCCTGCCCCAAAAAATAGTTAAAAGCCAAAAATCTGCTTTAAATGCAGCAAAAACAGCTTTAAAAGCCACAAAATTAATTTAAAAGCCGCCAAATTAGCTTTAAAAGCCAAAAAACACATAAAAAACAAACACAAAACAGCTTTAAAAGCACTAAGAAACAGTTTTAAATGCAACAAAAAACAGCTTTAAAAGCACCAAAACAACTTTAAAGTCCCTAAAACACCTTAAAAAAAACAAAACAGCTTTGAAAGACACAAAAAAACAAGTTTAAAGCCCCCAAAAAGGGGGTCTTATGGAATGACAGACAGGGACCCACTTCCTCCAATTCCTTTTTCTTTTCTAACGAGGTATTTTATTTATTTGTTTGCTTTGTAAGTATTGTCTCATTAATGTTTGTGTTTATTAACTATATCTAGTTTTCAGTTGGATTTAGAGATCCCAAACCGACTTCACATAACCCAGTTAACTCATTGGCTGCCAAAGACGTCTATAGACGTCTTTTATGTTTTTCAACGAGAGTGGCTGGGGGACGATCTGCTAAAGCTTGTCCGTAAATATCAGGCTTCTAGACAGAGTATGTAGTAACAAATTGACCCTCTAGGGGGCAGTGCCACTTTTGATGGGAGATGAGCATAGACTGTAGGCAAATAAGAAAAAGCTAACGGTTCTATGAGAGAACATGTCGCCGGTGAGACGCAAGTCCAGGAAGAACGGAATAAGGTAGAAACATATTTTTTTTTCCTGATGAAAGATGAGAGTCTACTGTTTCTTTTGGCGTGTTCGGTGTTTACATAGTCATAGCACAAACTATTCTGTGGCTCTTGAGAAATCAGTCAAAATGCTCAAAAATGGGTCAGACCCACCTGGATGTTCTCTTTGTATCGGGGGACTCTGGACAGGAACTGCTGCCTCCCCACCAGCTCCCCGAACATCTGGGGGGTTTCCTCCAGATGTTTCACCAGCGGGGTCACGTTGTAGTGGAGCGCCTCCGCGTAGACCTGCAGATGTTTAGGGTTAGGGTTAGGGGTCTAAGGATGAGCTACCACATCCAAGTCGACCATTTTGATTAGGTTAGGTGACTAGCAGCTTTCTGAGGTGGAAACGAAACTTTACTGTCTGTACGAAATCAGAAGATAAACGATGTCCTGACCCTAACCCTGACCCTAACTCTAACCCTAACCCTAACCCTAACCCTAACTCTAACCCTGACCCTAAACCTAACCCTGTCCCTAACCCTGACCCTAAACATAACCCTAACCCTAAACCTAAACCTGATCCTAACCCTAACCCTGACACTAAACCTGATCGAAACTCTAAGCCTAACCCTATCCCTGATCCTAAAAGTGATCCTAACCCTAACCCTGACCCTAAACCTAACCCTAACCCTGACCCTAAACCTAACCATAATCCTAACCCTGTCCCTAACCCTAACCCTGATCCTAACCCTAACCCTAAACCTAACCCTAAGCAGAGTTGGATCTCCATCCTTGGCCTGTTGCACGTGTGTGTGTGTGTGTCTGTGTCTGTGTGTGCGTGTGTATATCTGTGTGTGTGTATCTGTGTGTGTGTCTGTATCTGTGTGTAGGTGTGTGTATCTGTGTGTATGTGTGTGTATCTGTGTGTGTTTTTATCTGTGTGTGTGTGTGTGTCTGTATCTGTGTGTGTGTATATCTGTGTGTAGGTGTGTGTATTTGTGTGTGTGTCTGCATCTGTGTGTGTGTATCTGTGTGTGTGTGTGTGCGTGTATCTCTGTGTGT